TTCCAAAAAGCACACCGAGTCCACCCATGACTACAAGGGTTCAAAACAGCCTTCCTTTTCTATGGTGTGTCTCCTGGAAAGTCTTTTCATGGTTTCACAATTCTGTTTGTGGTCATTTTTCTGAGCGGGTTAAGGGCTTCTTAAATCTTCATAGTTCACATTCACGAGCCCCTCGGAGGACAGCTTACCTCCCGCCAGGCCCCATGTCGTGATGAGCAGCGCGCACACGGCAGAGCTGCGGGAGGCCGGGAGCAGAGGCGGCCCTAAGTAGACAGCACGAGCTGGAGGTGGGGGCTACAGCACCTGGAAATCTGTCCCACGGTCACACCCACGCTACCTTACAGAACCTGGGCATGTGGCTCGAAAAAATGACAAGACACTTATGATGGGACGGAGAGGAGGAGAGCTGCACATTCAGCACGCCTCCTCTGCGCCGGAAACTGTGCAAGGCGCTCCATAGAGTTTTCTCATGGAACCTCCTCTGCGCCGGAAACTGTGCAAGGCGCTCCATAGAGTTTTCTCATGGAACCTCCTCTGCGCCGGAAACTGTGCAAGGCGCTCCTTGGAGTTTTCTCATGGAACCCTCCAGGCAGGAGGTAGATGTTTTCAAAACTCCCGTTCTACAGATGAAGGAGCTGAGGCACACATGATGATGTCACTTTCCAAAGTCACATAACTCCTAAGTAGCAGGGGTTAGAGTTGAACTTGCATTTACGAGGCCCTAAAGCCCAGACGACAGTCACTAGGGTCCACCCTAAGGAAATGGAGAACACGTCTTCAGAGCTAGGATGGTGCCTCTGGTTCAGTCCTGATTCTATTTCGGAAAGCTCATCTATAAATAGCTTCTCTCCTGCTTTCCACCTTTCCACGGGGAATCCACCCTCTCTCCTTTTATGGCGGCGGAGGGTCATTGGGTAGAAGCTCTGAAGATTGTGGGTGAGTGCCCTGCCCTGGCCTGAGCTGGGGGTGGTGGGGATAAGCTTCTGCGTCTTCCATCCATTCCTGCGGCCTCCTGGGACCCAACCATTTGTCCCAAATCTACCCTAATTAGGGAAGAAAAAGGAACTACTCTTTCAAAGATCTGTAGATGCGCAGCTGGCTGCCTTTTTTATTCCTCTCTGCCCACTAATTCCAAAGGCATCTGACAGGGATGCCGCTCCGGTGAAGATGACAGGAAGTTTCTTGCCGTGGAAGCAACTGCCGGTCTAAAAAAAGCTCTTTTTAAAAATGCTCAACTCGGAACTAAGAGCTTGCAGAGAATGTGTGATGGCTGCTGTTATTTATTTATACCACCGACTTCCAGAAAGGATTTTAAGTGGCTCACAATAAAAACACAGCTAGATCTGGGGAGGGAGAGTAGAAATGAAGAGCGCGGTGAGCTGCGAGACTGGCTCAGAGCGCCCTCCACCCCGCGGTGGGCAGCAGGCCTCTGGAAGGATGCCCAGGAGCCAAGGGCCACGCTTTAGAGATAAAATTGTGCTTCTGTTTTTCCTGCTTGATTGAAAGAAGTACAAAAAGTCTCCACAAAGTGTTTAGGAAGGTGGGCCCCAGTTGAGGACTGGGGGTGACTCACCCCCATACTGGGGTGGATAGGAAAGGGCTCTGGAGGCCCACAGGGAAGCCTCTCTCTCTCAGGCCAGCAGCCGAGGCTGAGACTAGAATTGGAATGCACAGTGGTTTATGTGGGAGGGGATCCCAGGAAGCACTGGAGGAGCAGAGTGGGCAGGGAAGGAAGGTGGCCAGCGGAGTTCATCACTGTGGGCAGTCAGGGCTCCATCTAGCTGGGAAACTCTGGGAGATGGTTTAGAGGATACCTAAGAGTTATCCTGCCCAAGGAATCAGGAAGCCGAGGGGTTTACCTCTCCAGCTTCTACTCATCAGTGGTGAGGGACCGCTCACAGGAGTGCCAGTGCCTCACATGTGAGCCATCCTGTAGGAACCCCCGGCCACACCAGGCACGCGTTCCAGGAGGGGCAAATGCTGTACGTTGTGTTTGTCCTGCCCTCCTCCAGGCTACAGTGGGAGCCGTTTCACCTGGTTACTAGGTGAGTCAGGGTCTGGGGACTGACTTGGCTGTGCTAAGATACCACCTGGAGGAGACGGAGGGGGCCCCTGATGTAGCAGTTAGTGGCCCTAGGTACTGTCATATAAAGTCTCTCACCTTATGAACTGGATCAAAAGTCTCCTCTTTCAGGAAGACCTGCCTACCCTGATCTCTTTTCCTCTGACTTTCTTGGAGCTACAAGATTGATTTATTCCTGGGTCACAGCTCTCTCCTCCTAGCTAGATGCCTCCAATGGCCCCAGCTGCCATTCTCCCGTTCTGGCAACCCTCTCGAGGGATTCTGTGTAGAGTGTAGTGGTTAAAAGAGTGGTCCTGGAGTCAGGCTGTTCAAGTTCAAGTCTCACCTCTGACCACTTGTTGACTGAGAGAAAGGGGAAAGTTATCTAGGCTTTCTGTACTTGGCTTTCGCATCTGTAATATGAGGGCAACGAAACCCAATTCATAGAGTCCTCACAAGGAGTAAAAGAATTAGTATACTTACAGTACTTAGCATGGTCCCTAGTACATAGTAAATGCTCAATAAATATTAGATGTAATAATGATTACAATGATAATAAAGATTTTTGACCACAACCCATCAATTACTGTTCATTATCTACGAACTAAAATACAGACTCCTCAAGTGGCACTCAAGACTCTGCCAGGCTTTTCCCATTCTCACTTCCCTCTTGCTGTCAACTCAACACAGTCCACCATTGCACAACGCCCGTTTTCTCTCATCTTCTCTTTTCATCCCTTCCCACGGTGCCAGCCTGAGTTCCCTCATTTCTTAGGTCAAGACGCCCCCACCTTGATACACAGCCCAATACAGGGCCCGAAATGCCACTGAATGGCTGGCAATTAGTACGTATTTCTGAAAGAAAGAAATGGCATACTTTCTGGTATTGGTAACTCATCACGTTACTTTTCTGTATTGTCAGATGCACTCAGCATGGGGGCCAGGTCCCTGGAGGGTGAGTTCATAGCCAGTAGAAGACGCGCGGCTGGATGATGCTTCTGCCACTCCACTGCTAGGTAGATATATTTGGGTCCCATCACAGCAGCTTTTCATAAATTGTCTCATTTCATCCTCCCAACTACTTCACATTATTCCCAGTTAGAGATGGGAAACCTGAGGCTGAGAGACGTTAGGTAATTTGTTCACTGTCACGGGGCTGATGGTGGCTGAGCAGGACTTGAAGTACATTCGTGTGGTTCCAGGCCTCTGTTCTGGATACGTGGGGTCACATTCCACCTTCTCTCCCAGGTGAAAATGAAAGCTCCCTTACAGTGTCCAGTCTTGTCCTGGCCTGTGTCCCTGCTCTGGGATGGGACAGTGCTCCCCAAGCTCAGTGAGGACTGGTTGAGGTGAAGCCGAGCCTCTCCCTCGGCCTGGCAGACATGCCAGTGTTTCTCCTGGCTGACGCCAATGGGCGAGCTGGGGCCCCAGGGTGCCACCCTGGGTCTTGCTTCTCAAAGCCCAGCTTATTTGCTCTTCAGAGTCTGGTCTGCAGACCAGCAGCATCAGTAGCCTGGCAGCTTGTTAGAAGTGCCCCTAGGCCGTGCCTGCTGCACCGGAACCTGCATTGTAAAAAGATCACCAGACGCGTCAGATGCACACTGAGTTTTGAGAAGTACTGCTCAAGGTTCTACCTCTGCTTCCAGTGAGCCAAAGCCTCTGGGCTTAGCCAGGGGACTTACCTGTTTAAGGTGGGTACCAGCCCTTCAGAAGCTGGTGCCACCCAACTGTGTAGCCTCATCCTCATCTGAGAAGCCACCTAGGCGCATGCTGGCATCAGTTTCCACAGGCGCCCCTCTGGGCCTGCTCCTGGTCACCATTCTCGTGTTACAGATACCATGGTGGCACCAACATCCTAGTGCACTACACCCCATGCTCACCAAGAACTGCTGCAAAGCCCCTCCGCTCACTGTGGGTTTTCCTTCCTGGTATCACTATTTTGTCTTTTTATCTTCAGGACCTCCCATGCTATCCTTTTTCTAGCATACTAGTCACAAAACCTAAGGGCTACAATATTTGGATATTTTTTTTAAAGTATGTTTACCATAGCATTGTAGGTGAGCAATCTAAGGTTTTTAAAGAGGCCAGAACAACATTCTAGTTATATTGATTCATCAAATCTCTATTGAGTGTCTATGACATGCCACAAGTTAGAAATATACATCAGTGAACATAATATATGCAAAAACCACTTGGAAAAATTAAAGCACCTCATGACCTCTCCACTGGCACAACCTAGACCAGCCAACATATACCTCCTGCCTTATTCACTCACTTCTCTTTTTCCTCCTTCTCTCTCTGTATTTCTAATCTCAGTGAAAGGTCATTCCTGGCAGAAGGCTGGGAAGCAGAGGGGGAACATTCACTCAACAGGCCATGGGGCATGCCTACCCCAAACTTTTCTAGGCCCTGTCTTAGGGGTTTTGTACGTGTCCTCTCACAGAAGGCAGACCTTGGCCCAGGAGGGGGCCTCTTTATCTTGGTTGGATTTCACAGCTGGATTGGGGTTTTTAAAAGATCGGGCCCTTGTCCCCCTGGGTCCTTCTGTACAGATGTCTGTCATGACCCATGTAACGCTTCACTGGCTTTACTTGTTTCCTTCACCAGATCAAAGTCTCTGAGAGCAGCACTCAGTAGTTCATGTTACCAGGGCTTGGAACACAGCCTGTCGTATAGCAAATGCTCAGTTAATGCATCCAGCGTGAATGCATGTGTGCATGACTGCAGGGAGGTGGCACTCAGTCTACTCACTGACTGCCCACGCCCAAAGGCTGCCGCACAGAGGGAAGTGGCTACTACATAGTCCCAGTCGGCTAGCATGCAAGTCTCCGCCAGGCCCAGTGCAAAGCGTGTGTGTGTGTGTGTGTGTGTATCTCTGCACACATGCATGTGTGAGGTTTCCACACACCCAGCAGCCTGGCGCAGGAGGATCTCTTACCGTGGTGTATTTACCCAGCTGGCAGAGCGACGGGAAAGTTTCCTGGTGAGCTTTTCGGATCTTCTCTGTGAGATCGTCCAGCTCAGCTGTCATTTCATAGCTCTCTGTGCATTCTTGCTTCGAAGTCTCCTTCTTTTTCTTGTTCCTGTCATTCCTGACAGCTGGAAATGAGAGAGAAGGCACATCAGGGGTCACTGAAGGCTGGGCCTGTGCTCCTGGGCTGGGAGGTTCCACCCCCCAGTGCTGCCTTAAGCTCATTTGATATTTGGGACAGAAACAGTGGGAAGAGGTGGTAATAATACACCTCCCTGGAAAAGGGATTTGGCAGCCGGGGAGTCCCGGCAGAGAGCTAGGTTTGTCTTTCTGTATATGCATGTGCCTGTCAGTTGTTTGGAAAGCTTGGGCTCAACCTAGGAGGCTCAGAGTCTTGGCTTGTTGTGAGAGAACTTCTTCTGTGGACTGGATCTCTTGAAGAGAGAAGGATTTTTCCAACAGCTTTACCCTCAAAGGAGATGCCCTGAGTGACATTGTAAGGGAAGGGTCAGGTCTCTGAACAAAGCTCCTGTTGCTTCATAATTAGTATTTCCTAGTTACACATTTTGGTGTCTTTGCTTTTTACTTTTGAAGAAACTCATCTGAGAGGAGATAAGGATGATGGTTTTTGTCCCTTCGTGTTTTTCTTCTTTCTAAACTTTCTGTATGAACCCTGTTATCTGTTTTGGTCTATAAAGTTACATAAAAATAATAATTGATACAGTATGAAACCTTCAGCCTGGAAAACCGTTCATTCCCTTATTCGCTGGTGGCCACTCGACTCCACATTGTGTCCGGAACACTGGACCCACAGCAGGCATGTGTCCTCTCCCTCTGCACGCTCCGGGCCAAGCACGGTACCGGGCACAAAGTCAGGGCTCAGGACACAGTGCTACGGAAGCCCGTGCTTCCTCCTGCAGCACAGGCCTCTGCTATGACTGCAAAACCGCGTGTAACTCAAAGCTCTAGCCCCTGACTAGGATCTCGTGGGGAAAGAAACTGAAACCCTAGGAGGCAGACAGGTGAAACCAGACCATGTCACCCCCTCCAGGAAGTCCATGTTCCCTGGGGGCCCAGTGGGTGCCAGGCTGGACGCTGCCTGGCTATGCCTGCCGCCACCGTGACCTGGGAATCTGTACTGCAAAATGACCCAGGGCATAATCTGATCTGCCTAAGAGGATCTGGCCTGAGTTGCCTCCCTAAGAGCACATGGATGATTTGAGAACTGGCAGTTCCCTGGGTCCACACCATGAGAACACACATGTTTGGGGTGGGAGCTGAGGGCAGAGTAAGACAATAGCAGGGGGAGAGAGGAAGTGGTGAAAGGAAAGAGCAAGGGGTGAGAAGGGAGAGTAAAGAAAAAAAGGGAGGTGAGTCGTACTACAAAATCAGTGTCTGTACGAGCCACTCCTACCTAACCAGGAGGGAGGGGGGCACCTGGGGAGAAAAGGAACGTTTTTTTGAGTATGTTGAACATGGTATCATGTTCAACATATTTTACAGATGAAGAAACTGAGTCTTGGAGAAGCTAAGAAATATGCTCAAGTTCACATGGTTGAGAAGTTCTTTCCTCACTTGAACTCACTTACTTATTCCTAAGGAAACCAACAGGTCTGAAGAGAATACCCTTCTAGACGGTTTTCTTCCCCCAGGACTCTGAAATGACACTGCTCATTGCTCAGAAAATTTCTAGATCACTGGTGAAATGAGTGGGTAGCGCAGCCTCAGCTGTATTCTTTCCCAGGGCAGACTGGCCCCTCGAGACCTCTGTGACCAGATCCCTCCCAGCCAGTGCAGGACACTGGGTGAGAGCGGGTATCGTGGTTCAAAGCAGAGAGAATGCAGAAGCCTGTGGGCAAAGGAGACATAATGAGGGGGGAAGGTGTCATGCAGGGTGGCAGAGACGGCATGGTGGCTCTCTGTGAGGTGGAGCCTGGACTGCTGAAGGGAGGGAATGCCTGAAGGCTTGTGTGTGAGTGCGCAGGATCTCAGGTGATCAGACTCCCCTCTTTTCCCCTGCCTCTGCCAATGGCCTTCCTTAGCTAATGAAAAAGTCAAATCTAAGCAGGGAGGGTCCTTCCGAAACGCAGCCCCGAGGAAAAGTACTTGGCAGTTTTTCACAAAGTTATACACAGAAGTACCAAGTGACCCAGCAATTCCTCTCCTCGGTGTACACCCAAGAGAACTGAAAATATGTGTCTATGAAAACTTGTCCATGAATGTTCATGACAGCGTGACTCACAGCAGTTGAAAAGTGGAAAGAACCCAAATGTTCATCACCTGATGATGGAGAAGCGGAATCTAGGATGTCCTTATGGTGGAATATTATTTGTCGTAAAAAGGAATGAATTATGGACACATGCTGCAACACAGATGAAGTTTTAACACATGTACCGTAAAGAAGCCAGTCACAAAAAGCCACACATTGTGTGATTCTAATGATATGGATGTCCAGAACAGGCCAATCCAAAGACAGAAAGTAGGCTTGTGGTTGTCAGGTCCAGGGGCCAGTTGGTGGGGAGGGAGGATTGGGAGTGCCAACGGGTTCAGGGTTTCTTTTTTTAGGAGATGAGAATGTTCTGGACTTACTGGTGAAGGCTGCACAACTTAGTGGATCCACTACGCACCACTGAATTGTACAGTTTAAAATGATGAATGCTATGCTATGTGAATTATATCACAAAACAACACCAACAAGAAACCCAGAGCCCTTTGGGAGGCCACACATTGCTAAATACCAGGAACTGCTTTGAGTCGATCGTGAAGCTGAGATGACACCTACGCTCCATTAAAACGCAGCAGCAGCTGCAATATCCTTTAGTGATTGTATAGCAAGGGCCGCTGGGGCACCAGCAGGTGAAGAATCCTAGCTCACGAAATCCCCACAGTAAGCCAGGTGAGGTGGGCATGATGACCCCATTTCTACACTCAAGGAACTTGAGACCCAACACCACCATGTTTGAAAGTAGTCAACCCAATGTGCATTTCAGTGGAATGTGCAGAAAGAGAGGCCACCAAACAAACTAACAACCCACCCAAGGATTCCCCAGAATTCTATCCACAGGGAGCTCTTCAGGACCCGTGTCTGCCCCTAAGCATTCTGCTTCACTGTCCCCATCCACCACCAGGGGCCTGGAAAACTCAGATGAACAAACACGGCTCTGGAGGGTTACCAGGAGAGAGGAGACACCGGGAGCTCTCACCATGGAGTATCTGAACCAAGCAAGAAAGGGAGGAATGAGGTCCTGTGGGAAGGGGCCCGGGGTGAGCTGCAGCTGGGCACCAAGTTGGGAGTCTCTGTTGGGGTTGTACAGTGATAGCACCTGCCATTTGCAAAATCACAACTGTGAAGCCAGAGCACCATGTTCTGAGCTTTGGGCCCAGTTTGGAGCACCCTTTGCAGCTGACTCAAAGGGGACCATGGTGTAACCTCAGGCTGCTTTCCACAGTCCTTCTGTCCCCTAAACAAAGTCCCACCACCACTGTCGATGTAACTAAATACCAGGACTCCTGGAATTATCACAAACTCTTCCACACGTGCAAAATGCAGGAACAACCCCTGTGGTGATAATGCCCCAGTTACATACAGCTTCATAAGTCGATGGACAAATTTTCTAAACATGTGGCTTCAGCAGCTGCTTCCCTCAATGGTTTTAAACTCTAGAAGAACGCAGACACAGGGTCTGAGAAGGGCTCCCAAGAACCACCAGAATCACGGAGGTGACACAGTGCACAAGAAGCCACAGGGGCCTGGGGATGGTAGCTTTGTCCAGGTTCTTGGGACCATTGGTCCCTCTGAGGCCTCATGGTCAGCAGCTCCTGGCGCAGGGCAGGGCTCATTCCCCTGGAGGTCAGCAGTGGGAGGCAAGGGGTGACACAGGGACTGCTGGGGAAGTCAGGAGATTAGAACAAGTGCCAGCTCCACCACTTACCACCTGGGGTCAACTCCAGAGGAGGCAGCTCCTTTCAGAGCCTCCCCCGAGATGGCAGTAGCACCTGCATGGAGACACACAGATGGTGGGTTAGGTAGGAAGGAGGTAGATGGCTGTAAAGGCCCATGTAGGTTAGTTATGCAGGAAGAATGTAAGGCCCTTCTGTGGGGAAATGGATGCCCTAAATACCAAGGACTTGTGGGGATTACTGTGGGGCCTGTGGCTGTCAGTGGCAGAGGAGACTTGCTATAAAAAGTGGTGCTTGGAGAAGCCATTGCAGTGGTACCAAATGAGTGGGTGGATTCATTTGTTCCTTCATTGTTTAATTCATTCATTCAATCAATGAATATTTACTGACCATCTACTACATGCCATCGTGACACAGGATGGTTCTTGCTGCCATGAAGCAAAAGCTTATGGTAGGAGACAGACATGAATCATATAATAAAACAGTGACAGTAATAATAATAGAATATTGGCATCACTATTATGACATGTACTGCAATTAATATATGAGAGTATTATTTACCACAATACTGAAAGTGTTCATTACAACTATCATAAAGCCTTCTATTCATGGTAGACCATTCAATCCTTACAACAACTTAATAGGGTAGATACCACTATTATGCCCATTTTGCAGATGAGAAAATGGAGGCACAGGAAGGTGAGTACCCTGCCTGATGCACAGTATGCATCCTGTGAGTGATACAGTCAGGATCAGAACTTAGGAAACCCAGTGTGCTTGCTGAGTCTGAGTCTACCCCATGTACACACATTCTACAGCGTAGTGAGTGTAATGAAACATGCTACAGGGACCTGTGCCTGTGTATTACTGGGTGTGGCAGGGGGCTCCTGCTGGTCCTAGATTAGGAAGCTAACACTGGGGAATTGGGAGGGTAAGCTGAGAGGTGTTGTGGGATGGTGGGTGGGGAGATGACTCTCTCCTCTGGGAGTATAGGGTGTGCATCTGACGCTCAGCTCCAGAGGCTGCCTGGGATATTTGATGGTGGGCCTCTTCTTTCACTCTGATTGCAACTGACTGCTATATGCACTCATATACCTATGCCAGACCTGGGGGTTTGACAAGCTGCTTTCGGGTATGGTGCACCCCTGGGAGGGAATGGGGAGGCAAAGAGAGGAGCAAACACTGTCAAGCCTGCATCAAAGCCCCCCCCCCCAAGTCTGTGAATATC